CAGGCCACATTTCCTTCCCCAGCCCACTGAAACGATGGAGGGAAATGCCTCCTGGGTGAGCCAACATGTGAATGGTGAAAATGTCTGGTGATTTTAGAACTGTAAGTTGCCCAACCCCTTACGTTTCCCCAATCGTCACTGAAATGCATCCATTAGCTACACGGTGGTCGTGCAGAAGAACTCGGGATTTCCAGTTTGTTCACAGGAGGAGCATCTAAAGTGACATTGTGATGGCCTTCTTGCAGGACGTGCTCTTTACGGTTTTGGACGCAAGGAAAGGGCTCCTGAAAGGGATTAGAAGCATGCTGGCCAACATCTTCCTCCCTGCCATTCTTGCCACGAGTAACTGGGGTGCTCTAAACCAATCCAAGCAAGGAGAAGCCGACAAGCACATTTTCACAGAAACCATCAGGAGATACCTTTCCTTCTTAGAAGGTATGTGTAAAACAGTAACGTTGAGCAAATGACTAGCACGAACTAGAAGCTATATTATGAAAAGTAAGCATTAGAGAAAAAAAGATCATCTTACAAAAAGATGTTAATCAATGGACGTTTGGGACCTAGAGGTAAGTTATTATGTCGTTAGAATCTTTCATCCCCTCTCCCCCAAAAGAATCTTTAATCTCCAGAAAATTTTGGAGAAATAAAGTTTGCTTCATGCTTTAGAGGATTATATACCTGGAGGATTCTCCTCCTGTATTGGCAATGAGCAATATCACCACAGCTTAAAATAGATACTTTACTATTATCTATTCTAAAGACATTTGCTTTTGTTGTCTTATATGGTCAAAATATCACTGTAGTCATATAATTATATAAATCGAATGGCATATGTAGAAAATATAATAAAATATCATTTTATCAATAAACGATCAAGAATTGTATTATCCTTCTATAAAACACTAGATCTTTAAAATGTCAGTAACTGAAGCTTGAAACCCCACACTGATGTTTAGCACATTGATGGTAACTAAATATCTCTTTAACCAATAATCTTTTTTTATTTTTTATTTACCATTTTAGGTGCTAGAGTAAGCATTGAGGGAACAGTTAAATTGAAGACGATAAGCCATGTGGATTTTAACAAACTGCAGACTTTTGAAGAAGTGACAGCCGTAGCAGGCAATTCAGAAACTGTTCATCAGCTAGAGGACGTGCTGATGATATGGTACAAACAGATTGAACAGGTGAGCGGAGCCAAATAAAGGCGCTGGATGTGAGTTGTCGTTCTCATCGGTGTCCTAGTCATTGAATTTCACCCTGAAAGTAAGAGTCTTTCTTCCAGAGTCCGTCATGAAATGTAGTCTTTCCCCGACTCTAGTGCTAAATCATTGTTTTTTATGGACCACTTAAAAATCAGCTTTAAGATGATTTCTCATCTTAAGAAGGGACCTGTCATAATACAGGCTGAGAAGGGAGCACTGAAGAATCAGGAATGTCCAGTATTTATCCCTAATAATTTATGTACTGTGTTTCCTTCCCATAAAAGAGAGCAAAAGGACTGAATTAAGAGAAGGATCTACAGTGCTAGGCACTACGTAAATAGTGTTGGTTGATCAATGGCTTGTGTTGTCCAAGAGGTTTAGACTAGGCTCATTCATATCAGTTCTATAGGAGCAAGTCTGTAGCTTTATAGCCCAATGCATCTTCTCTAGCATAAGAAAATCAGCGATAGGAGTGGGTTATATGTCAAAATCATGAAAGGCTCCTACTTAGATTACAAATACAGAAAAAAAACCAAAACACCCCAAAACCCTACCAGGTACTGTGCGGTTATTGCTATTAGGGTTCCAGTTTATATGGGCACAGGTTTATTCCAAATAAAATGTGCTCCGGGAATAGCAGCAGACAAGTTCTCTCAGTAACACACTTACCTTGTTTAAAAAATGTCCAGTTACAGTGTTAAGATATGACAAAATAATAATAATTTATAAATCATCAAGGGTTCATGAGGGAGGGTGGAAGCAGGGAGGTAGGGGAAAAATGAGGAGCTGATTCCAAGGGCGCAAGTAGAAAACAAATGTTTTGAGAATGATGATGGCAACAAATGTACAAATGTGCTTGACACAATAAATGGATGGATGGATTGTGATAAGCATTGTATGAGCCCCCAATAAAATGATTAAAAAAAACCAGACCAAATTAAAGAGTCCAGTTTAAACTGTGGCTGCCGAGGGGATCTGCTGGGCCAGTTAAAGTCAAGGCAGAGAGTTGAGTTCAGAAGGTTTGGGCAACTGCTTTTTGGGATCACAACGGGGTCGTCTTGATAGATTTTCACTGAAGGAAACAGAGCAATCGCAGGGGCTTATTAGGAAGGCGTTTTATGGACATTGAAAACTGCCTGGGTGAACGTAAGTCCAGGAAAGTTACGCTGAGACCGTTTTTCCCAATGCCACAATTCACCTGCTCATTCTTTGAGGGCAGCAGGGGCTGGCCTATGAGAATTGCTTTGGGAAACCTTGCCACATCTGCCCGACAGCCTTGATCTTGCCTCTTCAGACTTCTCTTTCTCACCCCCAAACTCAAAGAACATCTAAAAGGAACTTTGAGTCCCCTGAGGATCCAAATTGCCATTTTGATTTAATGGAAGAGTGTAGAGTTCTTTAGGGGAGAAGTGCTAGAGGGTCAGAAACAGTACCTTCTGAAGCATATCGACCCAGGTGGTTCTCAACTTATGGATCACAACCCATTGGGGGGTCGAATGACCCTTTTGCAGGGTCGCCCGATTCATAACAGTAGCAAAATGACAGTGATGAAGTAGCAACGAAAATAACTTTATGGTTGAGGGGGTCACCAGAACATGAGGACCTGTATGAAAGGGTCACGGCGTTAGGAAGGTTGAGAACCACTGATCTAGGGGGAAGATATGTTGAGAAGCGTCTCACTTTGTGATCTTTGTTTAATAAAGGCTGCTACAATTTATAGCAGTACTTTGTGGCTGATCCATGATGAAGGAGGACTCTACTTGCTAATTGGCAGAACTCGAGTCCCCAGAGCATAGGACAATGAAAGTAGAGAAACTTCTTCTTTTTCTTTTTATCGTTTTATTAGAGGCTCATACAACTCTTATCACAATCCATACATACATCAATTGTATAAAGCACATTTGTACATCCATTGCCCTCATCATTCTCAAATCATTTGCTCTCCACCTAAACCCCTGGCATCAGCTGCTCATTTTTCCCCCTTCCCTTCCCTCCCTGCTCCCACCTCCCTCATGAACCCTTGATAATTTATAAGTTATTTTGTCATATCATGCAAAAGCAGAGAAACTTCTGTTGAACTGTGACTGCCGGCAACTTCATTCTGACTGCTGGCGCACCCTCTCCGATGGGGCAGCACTGAATTGCCCCAGTGGCTCTCTGAGACTGTAAATCTTTACTAGAGTAGAAAGTCCCATCTTTGTCCCAATTTTCAGCTTAGCAAGAACTAAACCAAACCAAATCTCAGTGTGGGATTTGCGGATAAGCACAAGACCTAATTGTGCTAACTTGCTGATGTCCTACTTGCATGTGCTTACTTATTAATAAAATTCAATATTTTTTTTCACTACATCAAAGATTCTGCTTCTGAGTATGACTGGCATCTGACTCTTCCCCTGCCCCAGGGCACCTTCTTCCAGACTCAAAGCCTTTGCTCAAATTTATTGATAGGGACAGATGGAGCCCTGGTGGTATAGTGGGTTACACGTGGGGCTGCTAACCGTGGGGTCAGTGGCTTGAAACCAGCAGGAATTCCAGGGGAGAAAAAGGAGGTTTTCTACTCCTATAAAGAGTTACGGTCTTGGAAACCCACTGAGGCAATTCTACCTTGCCCTTATAGGGTGTCTCTGAGTCGGAATCAACTTGATTGTTTTTTCTTTTTGGACAGGGACAGAGTACCTACTAAGTAAGGTATGCACAAGCAAGTTTACTAATCTGTAGTGACCAGGTGAAACCTATATGGAATTGTTCACAATAGATTAGTAAGTAAGCACAAGTAAGCCCAGGCTTAGCTTGCTTATTGGATAAGCTGCCATGACTGAAGAGTCGATTCCCACCAAAGTGATGCTAGTTGGACTGTCGTTATGGAAGCTGGCTGCCACCTCTTTCTCCCTGGCAGCAGCTGGTAGGTTTGCACTTCAAGTCTTCTGGTTACAGCCTAGAGCGATAACCACCGGCACCTCCAGGACCCCCTGAAGAGAACACTCGGGGAGAAAAGGACCCCACCAACAAAACTTTATTTAAGGAAGAAAGAAAAGGGGCTCCAGTGGTGTAGCACTGACACACTAGGCTGTTAATTGCAAAGTCAGCAGTTTGAAACCACCAGCTGCTCCTTGGAACAAAGAGAGAGGTTTCTGCTCCCTTAGCGTTGCTTGCTCAGAAACCCACAGGGGAGTTAGTTCTACTCTGTCCTATCAGACGGCTGTGAGTCAGCATCGACTAGAATCTAGTCATTAGCTGACAGTGAGTGTAAGTGAAAGGGGAGAAAAATCTTGAGCCAGCAGGAGGTAGATAGAGGCGCATCTCCTGTTGTCAAATGCTCATCTGCCTTAGTGGATGAGGAGCATTTGGAATAGTTAACAACGGAGGACAAGCGCCGGCCTCTAGGTGTCACTAAGTAACGGAAGTAGGTAATTGCCCACCAAAGAACTCCTGCAGCCACCTAAGTATGGTGCTGGAGGAAGTGGGGTTGCAGCCATTGTGAAAGTCCAACTCTAGCCTACACCAAGGCCGAGGACACCCACTCCAATGATTAGGTGCAATCAATACAGCCCTCCTTTTCCAAAAATGAGCAAGCAAAAGAAAATAAGGAGACATGAAATGGAGCAACATGAAACAAGGAAGCCAAGTTGAGCAATTGTTACAAAGAGCCTTCAGTTAAGCAGAATCCCTGCTGGCAATGGGAGAGATCTTTGAGAGTATTATGTGTCAAATAAAACTTGACCATGACCTCTTGTTATGCACAAAACCCAACTTGACATGGATAAGCATACATATGAGAATGACAACGGAAAAATGTCTATAAAGGAAAGCCTTTAGGTTTTTGTCAAACACTGGGAAGGGAAAATAGATCAAACAGATCCACAGGGTGGGATCACTATGAGTCAGCATTGACTCAATGACGGTGAGTTTGTTTTTATCTGAGTGGTAACCATGATCTTGACAATTAATATACTCAGCCTTTGAAAGTTTTGCCTCATCTCCTTTTTTAAAAAAAATCATTTTATTGGGGGCTTTTACAGCTTATATAACAGTCCATACATCAATTGCATCAGGCATATTGGTACATATGGTACCATAATCATTTTCTAAACATTTACTTTCTATTTGAGCCCTTGGTGTCAGCTCCCCCTTTTTCCCTCCCACCCTCGTGACCCCTTGATAAATTATAAATTATTATTGTTTTCATATCTTACATCGACTACTGTTTCCCTTCACGTTGTTTCTGCTGTT